GTAGGATGCTCTTGACAACCTGTCAAATAAGTCTGCAGCATTAGGCACTGGGTACTTGTTCTTCACAGTCACCTTATTTAGAGCCCTATAGTCCACACACATTCGCATTGAGCCATCCTGCTTTTCTGGAACAGCACTGGTGCACCATACGGTGCCTTAGATGGTTGAATGTAGCCAGAATCAAGCAACTCATCCAATTGCCTACGCAGTTCAGCCAATTCTGAAGGCGTCATCCGGTATGGGGCCTGAGTAGGAGCCCTAGCACCCAACTTCAACTCTATCTTTTGATCAATAGCACGTCAAAGGGGCAATTGCTTGGGAAGTTCTGGTGACATCACTTCTGCATATTCATCTAGAGTCTTAGCAACAGAATCCAAAACTTTAACAAACTAGTCCGATTTGATCTCTATTATGGCTGCAAGAAAGGTAGAGTCTCCTCTTTTCAAACCTGTTTTCACTTACAGTGCAGAAATCATCTCGATGCCATACTTCTGCTTGCCTTTCTTCTTATCCCCATAAGAAGCCACTAATGGAATGAAGCACGAACAACCCTGTTCTGCAATAAAAATTCCTCCCAAATATAGCACAACAGCCACTTTGGCTTTCACAAAGAAATAATTCTCAAGGATTATATCAAAATCATCTAAGGGTACAACCAAAAGACTAATTTTGCCCTCCCAACAACCAACTTTCAAAGAAGTGGTAGCCATGCCTAAGATAGGCTTAGCTTCAGAATTCACAGCCTTTATCTTACTAGAATTACCAATAAACTTTAAATTAAAGTTACTTACTTCCCTCTGCGCAATGAAATTGTGAGTGGCCCCCGTATCCACCATAACCAACACTTCTTTGCCATTCAGAGTCATTTGAATGAACATGAGCCCTTTCTGGAACAAGGACTGTCTTCAGTAAGAACATTCAGCAACTGCAGAGGATTGACTTGGGTCAGACCATCCGAGTTTGAATCTCCTTTTGAATCAGCAACAATAGCACTCAGCTTTTCCCTTTTGGGACAATCTCTAACACGGTAGGGACCATTGCAAATGAAACAACCAGCATTAGGCTTTGTCTCACTACTACTCCCTTTGTTATAATCTACCTTGCCCTTGACAAAACACTTATCTTTATCCTTCTTCTTGTTCGTGTCCTTTCTCTTGTCCTTGAACTTGAAGGATTGGCCTTTGTCTTTCTTCCCCTCCTTAGATTTCTTTTTGTCTGTTGTTATAGATCTCGTCATCTTGAAATCTACCAGACAATCTGCCTCTATCATGGCAGTAGGAAGGTCCCTCACACCTTACCTACAGAGTTATGCCTGAGCCCATGGTTGCAATTCGGATATGAAATTGAACAATTTGTCCTCCTCTAACATATTTTAAATGTCCAACATTAAGGAACTGAATTCCTACACATAGTCACGAACTGTGCATATGTTCTTCAATTTCTTCAAAGATTCCCTTGCAATCCATGCCGTGTTCTGAGGTAAGAACTGATATTTCAATTCATTATTTAGGGTCTCCCAGACTTCAATTCGAGGCCTGCATGCAAAAACATCATCCTCTGTCCGTGTGCGCCACCACAGTTTTGCATCACCAGATAGATACATGCTTGTAATGCTTACCTTCTCACCATCAGGGATCCAAGCAACCTTGAAATACTGCTCCATGTCCCACAAGAAATTCTCCAACTCTTTGGCATTTCGGGTACCACTGAAAGACTTGGGATCCGGCATTTTGATCTTCTGTGACAAAATATCACCACCGCCTCTGGAACTCCCATGAATAGCCCTTTTTCACCAGGGACACTTCATCTTTAACGTCCTTTATATTCTTCTTGAAGACATCTGTCAAAGACTTAACATTTTCAATAATACGAGTCAATTGCTCTTTCGTGGCGTGCATGAAATCACCAAACTCTTCAGAATCATTCTTCAAGTCTACACTTCAGAAGCCAAGTTTTCAATCTAAAACACAAGGCTCTCTACATCATCTGCCTCTGTTTCTGTGGGAAAACCCATAAAGTTTCCCAAACGGGAAACTCTTTCTCTAGTATTGCCTCCAACCATCGTAGAATAGAGCTCTAATACCAATTGTTATAGGGTCAAATCACTCAATGAATTTTGCACTTGGGGCCACCAAGTCTCAGCCAACATACAACACAACACACACAATACAAAAATATAAAGATAGACATACAGTTTACATGACCAAGTCCCAACTTTTGATCTTATTAAACATAATACAAAGGAACCAAATTCGTACAAAGAACCAATGCTCTCATTGCATGCACCCTCTACCTAATCTAAGCCCCCTGCATCCCAATATATAGGCACTTTGCAAAACTGCCAACAACTGGTCTATCTGTGTCTGTATCTAGACACAGCAGATAAAGTTGACAAGCCCAACCTTCTAGCTAACTAACCCAATCAAACTCATCCAGCACACCATAGCAGTTTTCTCACTCAACTACCTATATGTGTACGACATATGGATACATATATTCAGTTGGCATCCCCCAACTTATAGGCAACCGACCAATTACAATATGCCACAACAATAACTAACATAAGCCATATAACATATCTGTATGTGCTATCACAACTAAATATAAGTCACAAGACATCTCCGGAACAATTGATCATAAGGCATTGATCATATCTCAACTGCTCCCACATGCCTCATTCTGATTGGATCCATGCTTGATAGGTACACCTGCTGCCACTAAATGATATGTAGATGCCATGGCCTTAGCTATGCTCCATGAGCCACACCGAGTCAAGCCCATAAGTATGAACCCATATATAAATGCCTTTGGGTGCACGGCATGCTAAGCCATGCACGCCCCGTGTGCACGATTGGGTGTACGCCCATGCGCGCGCTGCTACATGCTGGTGTGCGCGTGTTGCTGCACACCAGTGCGCGCACACACCGATGCACGCTGATATGCCCTTGGGTAATTTGGATGCTCCACTCTTGTACAACTACCTTGGAATGGTGTAACCTGTGCCCATGCACGTTAGCTAAACACTCTAAGCAAGTTATACCATAACCCAACCGATGAGCTCCAACTACCACCCCTTATTATAGTTATTAGAGATATCAGCACTCTTACAATAGTAGATTCCATCTATGTACGAGGAGCCATAATGGCCATAATTACTAAAATGCCACTGGGCATCGCCTCTGCACGCTGAGCATCCTTTGTGCATGTTAACAGTATCTATGCACGCTGACTGCCCACTCAATGCACGCTGAGCATCTTCATGACTGTCAAGGGTGTCACTAATCTCTCTTTGACAAACCCCCATCTTTCAAACCAGAGCCAAAGTGTTCCCAAGACATGGAATGGCCCTGAATGCCTATGACTTCCCTTGGACAAGTGTCATGAGGCTAACATTAGGGCATAAGGTTATGGATGATTACTCAAAAAAAAAAAAAAGGCACATATAAACGAAATTAGTTATGGACAATATTTAACGCACATGTAAAGGATGACTATTTTGACGAATTCAATGTTACTTTCTGTGATAACTATGGATTTTTATAAATTTGGAAAGAAAACATTGAGAGAGAGAAACAAACCGAGAGAGTGATGTGGGTGAAAAAATACGACATAAACCTCGTATATTTACAATATCCACTTAAAAAGTATAGTGCACCTGAGAAATAATTTAATAGAACAGGAAGAGACATAGACAATAGAAAGGAGTCTTTAAGATTTATTTTATTTTATTTTATTTTATTCATTGACAATAAACTGATCACTTTACTCATTTGGATACCTGAATCCTTACCATCCATTTTGAGAGATAAATGAGATACTACTGGCCACAAAATCCTTGGTCTTTTAGATCTTAACTTACTGGACTTCTAGTCTATATATATATATATATATATATATATATAACAGATGATCTTTCAAAACAGACATCTTAAATATTGATGCCTTTTGAAAATTATTTAGAAATTATGTAGACAACTTTTTGCAAAAGACATCTAAGATGCTTTTTTATACAAAGAGAATACTTACTTACTCCTCGGTGAGTAAATCATTCATACTGACCGTTGACATAGTTCGAATATGAATGATAAATAAAAAAAAAATTGTAGGCACTTATATAGCCCGCTGACGTGGTCCTTTGTATAATTATAGTCAGCTTCTTTTTCTTTTCTTTTTTTAATTGAGAAATTTTGAGTCTAGAGTGGACAACAATTTTAATAATATATATATATATATATATATTATTGAATTTCAATAGTTTAATTTTTCAATACAATATTGAAAAATTAATCTATTGAAATTCAATAAAAGGAAATTTAATTCGGGAAAAAAATATATAATAAAAAAAATAAAACTACTAAAATTCAGTAAAAGAAATTTAATTCGAGAAGGAAATATATAATATTAAAAACTTATTTCTTGTTTAATAAAGAAAATCTAATTCGAGAATGAAATATAAAATATTAAAAAACTTATTCATTTAATTCAATAAATAAATCTAATTAGAAAAAAATATTAAAATACTAATAATAATACAGTAGTTGTAAATATAATTAGAGAATAAAATATATTATTTAGAACTTAATTATTGAAATTCAATAAAAGGGAATCTAATTAAAGAATGAAATATATCATTTTAAAAAATGAACTTATTTAATTCAATACAAGAAAATCTAATTAGAGAATAAATTCTACCAATAATAATATAATGGTATAAAATACTAAAACTTAATAAAAATAAATCTAATTGAAGAGTGAAATATATAATATTAAAAAAATTAAACTAATGAAATTCAATAAAATGAAGAAAATCTAATTAGAGAATGAAATATATAATATTTAAAACTAGAATTACTAATTTTTAATAAAAAGGAGATGAAAAGAAAATATGTAATATTACGTCACTCACGTGTGTGCTTGACTAGTACAAGTAAAAACCCTAGTTGAGTCTTCTACATAGACCAGGTGTCTGTAGATTGCCCATTGAGTTGGGCAGATCTAATGGGCCGACAACTGTGGAATGGGCCTTCAGACAACGGATTTAGGGTTTTTTTAAAAAAAAAAAACATGAATCATGATCTTTTTGTACTTCGATGGAGAATTATTACGTACTTACATGAAATCAACTACTCATTGGACGTGACTAAAGACCAAGGAGCATGTACTAATTCTCCCGTCCACACGCTATAAATTAAGTAAAATTTTTCGAGGAGAATACATATTAGGTTTCCTAACCAAAAATTGGATCTTTGTTCGTTCTAAGAAGAAACTAGGGTTCCTATTTTGAATCTTCTATCTGAGGTGAGTCTCTTTTTCTGATTTCTTTATTTTCTTCTTTACATAAATTTGTATTACAGTAGATTTAGAGTTTGTCATAATCTCCTTCCTTAATCTGTAATTGTTTGTTTTTTGGGTACTCTATGCAGAGCTTATTTAGCTTTAAATTATGATGATGAGAATAATTTCAATGAGGAAAAGGACGAGATCCATCTCTAAACGCAAAAAAAAACATAAGGTACATATTTATGTCTTTGTATTTTTATTTTTGTTTAGCTCTGGTTTTTGTTGTTCAAAGTAGCTAATCTTTGATCAGTCTAAAGGTGTTTTTTTTCCTGGGTGATTGGATTAGTCTAAGTGTCTTAGCTGAAGCATTCTTATGCAAAGGTGTGTTTCTTTTTCTTTTTTTGGGTAATTTATGCCCATTATCTTGGTTCATTCAGAGTAACAACAACTGCAGGATGGATAGGATCAGTTGCCTGCCAGATGAAATTCTTGTTTCTGTTCTGTCTCTTCTGGGAATTAGAGAAGCAGCGCGCACTTGTGTGCTCTCAAAAAGATGGAAACATTTGTGGTCATTTAACAGGGTTCTAAACTTTGATGCTTCACAAACAGTTTTACAATTTGAATCCAATACAGAGGCACTGTTGGGAGTAGAAAGAAGTAGGAACATAAGTTGGGTGAACAAAGTGGTGGAGTCACATTGTGGTTCAACCATAGACGAGTTTAGAGTTTGTTTTTGTTTGAATAGCTCTTCTAGTTGTGTCATTGATAGATGGATTGAGTTTGCAATAACAAAGAGTGTTCAAAGGCTTGAGATGGAGTTGGAACCATCTGTCTTTTGCAAAGAGCATACCGGTTTACCATATACTATTACAAACCAGAGTTATAATATTCTCTTCAAAAGCCCTGCTTGTTTATCCAGCATTAGGTCCCTAAGATGCCTCTGTTTTTCGCGTGTGAACATAAGTGGAGAAATTCTTGAACGCTTCCTTTCCGATTGTCCTCTTCTCGAATCTTTACGAGTAGAAGACTCGGAACATTTAGTGAATTTAAAAGTTTTTGGTTCCTCACTTCGGCTGAAGTTCTTGGACATATCTCTATGCCCCAATCTGAAGGATCTTGAGGTTTGTGCTACGAGTCTTGTGTCATTTTCACATTCTGGACTTAGCCAAAAAATGAATATGCAAATTAAGGATGCATTCCAGCTTGCCAAGCTGTCTATTTCAAATTTCGTTGAGCCAATACGGAGTGCTTTTTTTCTTGTTTTCAAGCTACTTTTCGCAGCTCAAGACTCTTTCGTTGGGCATGGAGATGACTCGTGGGCAAAAGGTTAGTTGATATTTCTATTGCGATTCTCTGTCACTGGAGTGTTTTTTAATTAATATCTTATAATGTTAGAAAATTGGTTCGAGTCTGATTGCAAATACTTTTTGTACAAAATTATACCAAAGGTTATGTCTGAATCAAGTCCATCCTCCCAACATCCCACCTAACCCCAACATTAGTTAGTGACCTTTTCGATTTTGTTGTTTATAATAAGTTTTGCTTTTCAGGGTAATTCAGGATTCCGAAAACTTCCTGAATTTACTAAGCTCAAGTTCTTGACATTGCAAGTTCTAGCAGATCAAACTGCAAGCATTCTCTGTTGGACTCCCTTGATATATGCATCACCTGTGCTGCATAAGTTTAAATTGCAGGTAAATAATTTTTTTATATAGTTGTGTTTAATGATAGAGGATAATTATCTCGTGTCTTTCTCTCACTGCAACAGCCATGAATAGAAGTTAACTTTCATTGGATAATGGCCTTCTTTATTTGGAGTTTTCTAATTTTTAGACAGATAAATTGTAATTAATATAATTTTAGATCATTTTTAAAAAATAAAAAAATCTGCACATCGCATCTTGTGAGTTACGTTGTATTGTATATCTACTTGCAGTTGAAAGATATAAACAAAAAATAAAATCGTATTACAATGAAAATATTATATATTGGTCGTTGCTTAATATCTAAATCTCAATTTGTTCTAATGGAGTTTGTTTTTCTTTTTTGAGACATAACTGATTTTTAAAACCGTTTTACAATGAAAATATTATATATTGGTTGTTGCTTAATATCTAAATCTCAATTTGTACTAATGTAGTTTGTTGTTGTTGTTTTTTTTTTGTTTTTTTTTTGGATAAGTAAAGATGAATAAAAAGTGTGTTGGGCCAGCAGAAGTGCGCGAACAAAGAAAACCAATAAAACCAACAAAACAATTACACACAAACACAAGTTATAACGTGGTTCAGCCAAACCGGTTTACATCCATAGATGATAAGAGATTCCACTATGATTCGTAAAGATTCTACAACAATAGAGCACCAATACCGCATACATGTCTTTTAACCATGTACCACTTCACGAGCCTATCTCCTCGTTACCAGTGACCCTCGGTGTTTTCCCCACTCTACCAACCTATAAACTATCTCTACCCATAACTCCCTCACGAGATTACATCTCTCTCAATCTCAAGACTTGCTTAACAAGAAATTTTCCAGCATAATACAACTCTAAAATAGAAACCTAATTAAAATAGGAATTTGAGACACAATTTCCAACAATCTCTACCTTGTCTCAAATTCCATCTAGTTAATCATCGCTTCCCACAGCATTGATCATTTTGCAACTTCAATCTTGATGATTGTTCTGCAAAATTCTGGTTATCCACATTGTATGTTGCTCGATCAATTAAACCTCTAAGACTCCATCTTGACTACTCGAGCTCCATGCCATATTGTCATGCAACCCATCATGTTTTTTGACCATCGTGATCAAACAAGCCAATTAACTCCACTTGCAACTAAAACCCGTTGTTGCAACTGTTGAGAGTCCTTGTGTTTTTTTAATCTCGTTCACCTTCGGTTCTAATGCCAATTTGTTAGGGCAACAGAAGCGCGTGAACATCGGGAACCAAATAAAGCTAACAAAGACAAGATATAACGTGGTTCAACCAAAATCGGCTTACATCCATAAACGAGAAGAGATTCCACTATGATTCGTAGAGATATTACAGCACTAGAATACCAACACTATTTCATGCCTTTTTCACCATGTACGCTACTAGTGTCGCTGGTGTTTTTCCTACTCTACCAACGCGCATTATTTCTACCCATCAACTTCCTCCTGAGACTACATCTCTCTCAATCTCATACGTCTCAATCCACAACCTAGGTATCTATTTATAGAGCTACAAAAACAATTCCTTGTTGGACAAGGATTACAATTTCTTAGAGCCCAAGACTTTTTTTTTTTTTTTGATAAGTAATAAGACTAAAAAAAGAGCGTTCAAAAGGGGAACGCATCCCAAATACAAAACAAAGGGCCATGAAACCTAAGGCCCCAAAGAAGTCAGAAAATCTATTGTCTCCTCAGGAGAAGAACAATGTCTACCCGAAACCTGAAAAAAAAGAGAACTAATAATAGAAGATTTAAGAACAGCAGCCGAGGATTCCTCTCCTTCAAAGCATCTTCTATTTCGCTCTCTCCATAAAAACCACCATAGACACAAGGGCGCCATCCTCCAATACCCTCTAGCCTGTGCTCCCACAAAACCCCCTCTCCAAGCGTCCATCAAACCTCTCGTAGATCTAGGCATAACCAAGGTAACTCTGAAAAGGCCCAACAAGAGGCTCCAACAATCAAAGGCCACTTGACAATGCAAAAGTAGATGGTCAACCGACTCTCCATTACACTTCTTGCACATGCAACACCACTTAACCGTGATATGATTTCTCCTCCTCAAATTGTCAAGCATGAGAATCTTACCCCACACCACTCTCTAAGCAAAGAAAGCCACTTTAAGCGGCGCCCTGGAACGCCACACTGCCTTCCACGGGAATGTAATCCCGACTTGATCCAACAGCCATCCGAAAAAAGACCTCACACTGAAGCTTCCCCTAAAGGAAGGAATCCAAACAAGAGAATCCCTACCTCTTCCACGAATCTCCTGACTATACAATAGCTCCAAAAATCCATAGACATCGTCCAGCTTCCAATCCTGAAAAGATCTCAGAAAAAGCACATCCCAGGTCAGCCTCCTGCTATCGAGCCGATAGCAGTCGGCAACCGAGGCATGCCTATTAGCAGCAATCCTAAATAGCCTGGGGAAGGAACATGCTAAAGTATGGTCTCCACACCATATATCCTCCCAGAAACGAATCTCCCTACCATCCTGGACTTTGCATCTGATATGTTTAGAAAACTCATTCCACCCCTTCCGAATAGCTTTCCAAACACTAACGCCTTCAGGAATTGTTGCCACACCGCGGCACCCCCCCCCCCCCCCCCCCCCCCCCCCCCCACCCCCGGCCTAAACCGGCACAGTATAACTCTCCTTCATAGCCTATGCCGCTCCATACCAAATCTCCACAACCACTTGCCTAGAAGGGCCCCATTGAAAGGTAATAACCTTCTAATCCCTATACCTCCAGACTGAATGGGCCTGCTGCAAACCTGCTCCCAAGCACCCACGTACATTCCTTTTCACCATGTACTACTCCATGAGCCCATCTCCTTGTTACCAGTGTCACCAGTGTTTTTTTTTTCCTAAATGAGAAAAATATTATAAATATAAAACAATGTAATACAACGGAGAAAGTGAGTGCATAGCACCACATCAAATGCAAAAGAACCCTACAAATAGGGAAGAAATCAGCCAAGGACAGACCCTTGGAAAAAGAAGACTAGCAAATTCAGATGATATCTCGGAGGCATACCCCAAGATATCCAAAACCGCTCACACTATACACTTCACCAAGTCCCTAGGGTCTCTATGTCTAGCATGGTGAACTCTATCCACTCTCTCCATTTATAGGATATATAATGTTGCAGTAAACAACATCTTAAACAATTTATGCCTCCATGTCTTAGCTGTGTACTGTTGAGCAAGGCCCTGGGCAAATTCCAATATAGAGTCACATTTCTGGATGTTCCAATGACATTTTTCCGAGACACCAGACCACACCTGCCATGTGTATTCGCAGCTGCAAAATAAATGGTCACCATTCTCTACATTCTTCATACACAGAAACGGAATAGAAGCGAAGGAAATTCCTCTCCATTGTAGATAAGAACTAGTTAAGATAGCATCTTGTAAACCATAGCAGCATGTATGGACCATCTAGGCCTTCCACCATTCCAGCAAAGCTCAGTCCAAAAAACCTCTGCATGCTTCCCAAGCTGCTTTGAAAGAGACCTTTGCAGTCTGCCAAAGTAACTGATCAAGGCCCCCATGGATCTTGTCTGCAGGTAGTTACACACATCTTGAGTACTATCATCAAACTTGGAGACATCCCGATTCTGGTCAACAATAAATTCACTCAGAAATATTATTCTGTTTCTATGAATGGATCTCAGGTTTCTATGAGGAAAGATCTCTGACATAAAACGGGGAGCACATCCCGAACAAAAGGGGAATCAAATAGGGTCCTTAAGAGCTCAAACTATCCAAAAAATTTATTATCTCAGCCATGGATATATAATTTCTCCCATAAACCCAACAAAAAATAGAACTAACTATAATGAATTTCAGCTTCCCAGTAGAAGTTTCCTCATCGATAGCATATTCTTTTCTTTTCACAAACATCACCAAATGCACAAAGACGCTACCCTTCACATGACGTGGGCTTGGGGATCTACTGTACACCTCTCCAAGCCTCCAACAAACAGAGCCGTCTGCTCCGAGACCTCTCAACTCCAAGAAGTCGAGAACTACTCCATGGGGTCCATCTCCCTCTCGTAGACCTCTCAAAATGATACTGCCCGAATTAACCACAGCATCTAGAACCTCCCACTCAACAAATCTCCCTCCCGACAAGCTCTTCACCACTCTGAAATAGAGGCCAACTTCATCTTTGCAAACACACTACATGCGCACCCCACTTTCGAATTGCTAACTTCACCACCTTCCTATTGTTCGGGTCATTCAAACCACGTGCATTCCAAGAAATGATACAGAACTTTATGGGCAAACAACACTAAGACTCACCCCCCTCCTCCTTCCTCTCCCTCCCTCCCTCCCTCCCTTCCCCCTCCTTTCTTCCCTTCATAGTTCTCGTTGGATATAAGGTTCCACAGCTCTCTATCCTCCTCTTCAGATGGAGTTCTATCCTTCCTAGCCTCCAGCTGCGTCTCATCCATAGGATGGTACATCTCCAAAGTTTTACTCCCCTCCCCCTTATTTATTTTATTTTAATCCATTACGGTAGTCTGATAAAGAAAGGCATGAGAGGTTCACAACTAATGCTGCAGGCTGGATGTACGCAAGGCTATATAAAATGTCATTTAGTTTCAGGATTTTTAATGTTGAGACAAACTTATGAATTGAAACTATTTACACTCTGAATGTTCTACAACCAAAAGGATAAAATATAGCTGAAGATTCATACACTTTGAGAATAATGTCAGTGATTTATTAATGATTCTTTTAGAGTTTCAAGAAACTTTGTGTTTATACTTCATATATCTTGAATTCCATATTTGCATTCAATCTCAAATGAACTCTTTTGTACACCGTCCTCTACATAACCTATTATATTTTTTAGTTACAGACCTACAATTATATTCTTGTCCAAATACTAAAAAGTGACAATTGCATGTTTTGATACTTTGATCCTATTTCAAAGTTTGTTGGGGATGCCTTTTTTGAGACATCTTTGTGTTACATAAGTGACTTGTTTTAGTCTAAAATACTGAAATTTAAGTTTCAAATTACGGACACAAAAATGAAAGAGATACTTTCTTTTAGTGTCCCCTCCCCCTATATTATTTCTCAATGAGTTGGTCCAGCTGTCCATGTAGGTAATGAGTCTATGTGAATTGTTTAATAAAATTTTTAAAGCAATTTAGCATTGCTCTGATTCCGGAACTAACGGCCTCATTTCATCTTTAGCTGTGATTACAACTTGATGAAGCAAATATCTAGGTTATTATAGTTGTTTTTTAAAATACGGATTAGGTTTTCTTGCTAAGAGGGAATTTTTTTTTTTCTTAAAACACTTGTTTCTAAAATGCTGGTAAATTATTATGATTGTTCTAGTAAGATGATTAAACTTTTAAGTACAGAAGTTATATTTCTACTATCTACTTTATTTGTTATTATTATTATTATTATTATTATTATTAGTATAGACTTACTATAAATATTTGTCCACTATTCTTTGTAGTGTGAGGTGTACATGGAAACTTTAACATACTGCTTTAATGTGAATCAACACTCAGCTATTACTAAAAGTAATTATAGTAAGTTGCTTATTTGTAATGAAGTGCCTTTTAGATGCCATAACCGTTCCATTAATACTTCGTGGGTCTGCCGCTGTTTTATGCATTCAATTATATATTGCATTAAGGAAAATGATTTTAAGCCCATTTCTCAAACCTATTTATGAGCCCCTTTTGTTACACTACTCGACTAGACAAATAGACCTAAATAGCGTCACTCATATGTATACCTATATATATATATATATTTGAAAGGTTGCATTACTCGTATTTTAAACAAGTACGATTCACTGCGTTTCTGTTCCACAGTTACAATATGTGAAGCCTTTGGGGGTGGAAGGAAAAAGCCGGCGTAAAATTCCCAACCGTCCCCATCAATGTCTAAAGGAGGTGGAATTGGCTGGGTTTGTTGGCTATTTTATTGACCTCGAGCTTGCCCACTATTTTATTAAGAATGCCGTCATGTTGGAGAAGATTACTATCGAAAGCCACTCTACACGTGTATTGTCGAGACCAAGACCGTGGATGTTTAATGAAACCAAGGAGAAACAATATGCCAAAGAGCAGGCCATGCAACTCCAAAAAATTCTACCTGCAGGAGTCAAAATGGAAATTATATAATCCTGCTCAACTGCATTTTGCTGCTCAACATTTAGTTTATTAATTTCATTTTTCATTTGCTATTTAAGAGAGTTTGATAGAGTAGAGAGTGGGTGTGATCTTATAAGTGAGCATTTTGCTGCTGAATATTTCGTTTGTTAATTTCATTTTTCATTTGCTATTTAAGAGACTTTGATAGAGTAGCGAGTGGGTGTGATCTTATGAGTTTTTGATATTGGACTCATTAATGTGTAATTGGTTGAGGGGGAATCGAATCTATGATCAATAAGATCGGACACTTTAGGCTTGGCCTTTTTATCGGCAACTCAGTCACACCTACTTATTAATGTTGTATGTGTAACTTGTTTCTTTTTCTTTTAAGGGATCTAAATTTGGTATTGAATTGATTAATTGAGTTAACTATTATATATTTCTGTTGATATATGGCTCATCTTCTTGCTTGTTGGGTCAGCTGCCCAGATTGCCGATTGTTGCCGATGCCGCGGACAGGCAAGTTCTATGAACGCATCAATTTGGTCAGATCCGCTCATATATATATATATATATATATATATATATATAATTTGTAATTAAATGTGATTAAAAAATTAGGGGTAAACATGTCTTTTCATACGTTTTTAACGGAGATCGTAACGGACAACCAAAATTGGACCTAACTGATAGTTATTTTCGAAAGATGTTTTAAATTGATATTTGACCAAATTACTGGGGGTGTCACTGAAATTATCCCTTAAAACTATTAAGAAACTTAAATATTTAAAAAATAAATAAATAATATACATAAAATATTTTGTTGAATTAATGATTTATTAATTTATTGATAAATTAATATCTTGTTTAATTAATAAAATGTGTGTGGCCCAACACTATATATTAATAGAGCTTACTTTATAAGTTGAAATTCGAATTCTTTTAAAGTACTACTACTTTTCCAAATGAAATTAATTGTGCATTTAACAATTAATTTAATATTAAAAAAGTAATAAATTATATCATCAAAACAACACAAGTTTGAATTTTTTTTTTTTTTAAAGTGTTACTAACTTTTAATAATTAGCATTGTAATTAATGTTCATGCTCCGCAATAATGTGACACATGAATAAGGGAAGGTAGTAGGGATGGCAATGAGCAGGGGACTTTTCCCGTCTCACTCAAAATCATTTATTAAAAATTTTCAACCACACGTGTTTAAGATCCGGTTCCATCAATTTCAACTCAAAATTTTTTTTTTTAATAAAAAAAATTACACTCAAATTATAGACACTCATATATAGGAATATAAACCAAATAAAAATCCTTTTAAAGTTTACACAAAATGTACCAAAGTTACAACAGTAACATTAACTTTCTTCCAACAAAAAAAGTAAATTTTTATAATTGTAACATAAAGTATAAGAATAAAAAATTAAATTCTCAATAATCCTTTCCAGTCCCCTCTGGTTTTCAGTTTTCACTCTTAAAACGGGTCCTGCCCAAAACCGCTAAAAAAAAACACACCCCTAAACGGGTTGGTACAAAATATGTTTAACCAGGCCCGAGTGTTAAAATCTGGGTTCAAGTCGGTAAACTGATTGAGTTTTCTTGTAAGGGGCGTAAACAAAAAAAAAAAAAAAAAATCTCGTTAAATTGACATATATGCACTTCTATTGATGACATGTCGGTACTCTATTGGTAACCATTGGAAACCGAAGAGAAATTCACCGCAGGGAGAGTCAAACCCTAACACAATATATAGAGCTGATAAGGAAGCACACAAAACCCTACTCTCTGTCTCTCTCTCTACATCTCGCACATTACGAACAGTGGAATTATCATACAACAAGAGAGACAATAAGGTATTAAACCCATTTATTTGATTCTTCGATCTGTTATATATATATATATGTATATATGTCAAAATTTCGAGTCGGAGAACCTTCTATGGTTGGATCTGTAATGTCTTACTCCATCATATGATCTCGTTAGGGTTTCTGTATGCCATAGTAATTCCTGCAATGGAAGGTTTAATATATATACATGTATATTTGTAAAATACAATTATGTGTTTCATATGCCTTGTATTTAATTTTCAGCGATCTGTACTCGAATTTGTTGTATCTTTCTTGAGAATTTCACATTTTTGGTCTCCGATCCTCTAATCTAGTTACGTATTTAGGGAGTATTTGATTTGGTATGACATAATGGTGTTTCTATTATAACTGAAGATTAAGAGTTGTTTGTTGAAATTTGTAATGATTTGGAAGTGAGATGAGGACCCAAAATTTAAAATGTGCTGTCAAACAACACAAAGGATTATTTACAATTAGAACACCATTTTTAGGACTTGAAACTGTAAGTGGGAAAAAGGAGGAATATTTACTGGTTAGTGATGGATTGATTGTAGTTTAACCATGTTATATTTTGGGTTTAATTTGTTTGATAACTATCTGTTTAGTTTTGGAATTTGTTTTATTTAGTGGCCAGTTTTAATTGAAATTTGTATGGTACTTGGAATTTAAATAACTTAGTGTCCAGGATTTACATTGACGCATGTGTGCAAAAAGTGGTGTGTATATTATTGTTGGACATAAAGGATGTGAAGAATGGAAATGCTAGCAAATAATGGAGATATGTGGGATAATTATTTTCTTGTAGTTGTGTTAGGGTTTGATTTAGTGTGATCATATGTAGGCTGGTAAATTGATGGCATCAAAACTGCTTCAATTTCAATCAAAGGCTTGTCAGGCCTCGAAGTATGTGGCCAAAACCGGGTCTACCTACTACAAGCAGCTATTGGAGCAGAACAAGCAATACATCCAGGAGCCTCCTACTGTAGAGAAATGCCAGCTTCTGTCAAATCAACTGTTTTACACTCGTCTTGCCAGGTTTTCCACAATCCAATTGAAACTTAGACTTTTTCCCATCAGATGCTGACGAATTAGATTCAAAGTTTGCTGTTTTTGTTATTTATTTATTTTATTTTCTTTCTGATTGATTTGGTCAACCACCAAGGGGTGTAGCCTAGCGGTAATTCCTCGCCTTCCAAAGTAGAAGGTCGAGGGTTCAAGTACCCATGGGGCAAAGTGTGTGTGTGTGTGTTTCTTATCATACTGAAAAGAAAAAAAAATTGGAAAATTGGTCCTCAGACCTTCTTTATGTGTATCTTGTTAACACTCATAGATTTGGATTCAGAACTTAGAAATCTAGTTTGATGATTGATTTGACACTATCCTTTATAGGCCCGTAGTTTTTACAAATGAACAAAGATTAGGGTACAAATGCGCTGCCAAGCTAGGTCTCAGCTCTTATGTCCTGAAAATTTTGCATGGGCTAAGTTGCCCCACATTTAGGCAGCGCTGATCTCAGTCTCATATTCAAGCCTGAAGTTTGTGTTGATGCTGAACTCAGGCTGGTTTTATGGCAGGACACCCTTGTTCTGACTGTAGTATGATGTAAATTTTATATGTTTCTGATTATGTTAAACAATTACTAATTGTATTTTGTGATTACTTCGTTTGGGCATCTAAAATGTTAAGAGAGTTGTACAATAATTATTGTTGGTTTGTTGATTTGAAACCGATAAAACTGTGGTCAATCTTCAGAAATATGATGGATATCTGGGTTGTTCAAGCTTTTGGTTGGTTCAGGCCCAATCTGACTTCCTCACTTATCCCTCTTACAATGAGCCTCCTATTGTAGAGAAATGCCAGCTTCTGTCAAATCAACTGTTTTACACGTCTTTCCAGGTCTTCCACAGTCCAATTGAAACTTGGACTTTTACCCCATCAAAAGCTGACGATCTAGATTCAAAGTTCCTTTTTTTTTTAAAAAAAAAAAAAAATCTTTTTCCCTCTCTCTCGCCAATTGAATTGGTCAACCACCAAGGGCTGTAGCGTAGTGGTACATCCTTGCCTTCCAAAGTAGAAGGTCGAGGGGCAAAGTGGGTGTGTGAGTGTGCTTTTTGCCATGGTAAAAAAAGATCTTCTTTATGTGTATCTTGTTTTTACTCTCAGATTTGGATTCAGAACATAGAAATCTAGTTTGATGATTGATTTGACACTATCCTTCTAGGCCCATAGTCTTACAAATGAAAAGGGATTAGGGTAGAAATGTGAGGGATGCCAAGCAGGGTCTCAGCTCTTATTTCCTGAAAATTTTGCATGGTCTAAGTTTCCCCACATTTAGGCAGCGCTTATCTCGGTCTCATATTTCAAGCCTGAAGTTTGTGTTGGGGCTGAACTCAGGCTGGCTGGTTATATGGCAGGACATCCTTTTCTGACGTCAAGTATAATGTAAGTTTTATATGTTTCTGATTATGTTAAACAATGACTAATTATATTTTATGATTACTTGGAATTTAAAATGTTAAAAGAGTTATTACAATAATTATTGTTGGTTTGTCGATTTGGAACCGAGGAAACTGTGGTCAAGCTTCAGAAATATGATGGATAACTGGTTTGTTCAGCTTAAGGTTGGTTCAGGCCCAATCTAATTTTCCTCACTTATCCCTCCTCAATTATAGTATACAATGAGCCTCCTACTATAGAGAAATGCCAGCTTCTGTCAAATCAACTGTTTTACACTTGTCTTGCCAGGTTTTCCACAAACCATTTGAAACTTGAGACATTTTTCCCATCAAATGCTGATGATCTAAATTCAATTTTTTTTTATTTTTTTTATCACTGATTGAATTGGTCAACTACCAAGGGTTGTAGCCTATTTGTACTTCCTCACTTTCCAAAGTAGAAGGTTGAGGGTTCAAGTCCTCATGGGAGTGGGTGTGTGTGTGTTTCTTGCCATGGTAAAAAAGAAGGAAAATTGGTCATCAAGATCTTCTTTATGTGTATATTGTTTTCACTCCCAAATTTGGATTCAGAACATAGAAATCTAGTTTGATGATTGATTTGACACTATCCTTATAGGCCCATAGTTTTTACAAATGAACAAAGATTAGGGTACAAATGTGATGGCTGCGAAGGTAGGTCTCAGCTCTTATTTCCTGAAAATTTTGCATGGGCTAAGTTGCCCCATCTTTAGGCCAAGCCTCAGATTTCAAGCCCGAAGTTTGTGTTGGAGCTGAACTGAGGCTGGTTATATGGCAGGGACAGCCTTGTCACTGGCATAGTCAAGTATGATGTAAATTTTGTATGTTTTTTATTATGTTAAACAATGACTAATTATATTTCATGATTACTTAGTTTGGCCAACTAAAATGTTAACAGAGTGAACGATAATTATTGTTGGTTTGTCGATTTGGAACCGAGAAAACTGTGGTCAAGCAACTGGGTTGTTCAAGCTTTGGGTTGGTTCAGGCCCAATCTGACTTCCTCACTTATCCCTCTTCAATTATAGTTTACATTGAAGTTTAGTGGAACAGCTTCAAGAAAGTTCAAGCTTCAATCATCTGCATTGCTTGGGCATGCTAATTTTGGAATATTGGTTCCAGTTTGCTTCTGGTCTTGTTTGTATGAAACACCTGCTTCATCACGTGCAGGCACAGATCCAATGAGCAATGAATTTTTTTATTTTTGCATAACCTACTATTTTACCCCCCACCCCCCCCTCTTTTTGTTGTCAGAAACTGCCCCCACTCGCATACTTTTTTGGGTCCATCACGTGTGAAGTTATATAAACTGTTTTGATTTTGATTTTGATTTTGATTTTTTTATTATTATCATTTTTTAACTGTCCCCATTAAATCTATTATCCTGTCATATGAAACAATCACTAATTATACTGATGAAAATTATAAGTAATAGTTTGCTTGCCTACTCGATGTAATTGCATAAAGAAATTACTATTGTATCTTGGATTAGACAACCTGTACATAGTTATACCCTACTTTTATCCTGTATTAATTATCCCACTATTTTACTGCCTTTTGGAACAGTCTTCCTGGTCGTTATGAAGCATTTTGGAAGGAACTTGGTCATGTGAAGCAGCAGGTCAAGAACTGGCATGAGCTGAAAACTGAGGATGTCCGAACTGGTGCTCTTTTTGGGCTGGAGTGTTTTGCCTGGTTTTGTGCCGGTGAGATTGTAGGACGAGGATTTACATTCACTGGTTACTATGTCTAAGGATGGTGTTGAAATCTGCCTTAAGTTTGTCAACATGGGTTGTCTCTCTTTTCTCCCAACTCTTTAGTCAATTGACCACATGATACACAACCTTGTTTTTATATATTGACAGTTTTTCGTGAGAAGAGAGTTTATTTGGATTAATAATCTCCCAATCCCCCGACATTTTTGTAAGCTTGGTATTGAGATATATCAGACGTTAGCCTTGCTATCCTGAGCATTGAATGGAAAGGTTGTCCATAAAAATTTACAGCTTTGATTATCCAGTTGAGTAAAATTGTGGTGCAGAATGTAAGTTTGTTGTGTCATGGGCATATGCTTGGTTTTTACTGCGTTCACGTTATATGCCAAATTCGTCACCTATAAGAGTAGATGATATTATATCTTAGTAACGCAGGTTCTATTTTTGTTATTTTAATTTTTGAGCTGTGATATTGACTCCGAAAATTTGAGTAAGAACGAGTGTGTTGGCTCACGTGTTGCACAGTGGTGCCTCTTATTCAAGTTGGTTTGGCTTTCTGAGTGGGAAATTTTTGCCTTATTTCTATGACATGATCTCCCTTTTGCCCTGTGGTTTGTTCTGCTTTCTTCTTCCTTAAATAGCATGTTTACTGAATCCGATCTCGTGGAGCCAATATTTTCTCTCTATTGAACGGTTGTGTAGGGTGGCTTTTTCCTCAGCTTTCTAATGCTTATTTGTGGATCATAGATTCAGAATTGTCAGCATGAATAATACTCTTTCCATTTTCACATGGTAAATTATGCTTCCTCACCCTTCAATTAGGGTTGTAAATGTAGGCTTGAGTTCTAATTCGTTTCATTGATCAAATTAACTGAGTTTTATCTACTTGTAATATGGGATATGGAAGTTACTGATGAGTTAATTTGGCAAGTATTAATTGGAAATTTCTTTCTTAATTTTATAAGCACGAGACCTGAACACAAACTTAGCTGACCTAAGTTAGTTCTCAAAATAGTTCTTTTTGGTATTCCCAAGTTCTCAATTCAATGACTAGCTTAGACTCTCAGCCTTTTAGGCTCGAGTTGAGCTCATGAATCAACGAGTCAAACTTGAATTTTGTATTGTGATGACCTATGGGCGGATGCGATACACTTGACGAGCTATTACACTAATAATGTGTTGTGATCCCATGTTTGGAGAAAGTGTGATCCCACATCGCTTGGGGAAGGTGAAGTGGTTCAACACCCTTTAAAGTTTAAAGTTGTAATTGTTGTGAACCTATTTGAACTTTAGAGTTAAATGTACCAGGATGGATACTCCTGGAAAGTCTTTGTCTTTGATCCGAAAGAGCCAAAAGCAGACAATAATATTGTATCCGAGTTGAGGGAGGGTTGTTACAAATAAAAATAAATACTCACAGCACGTGTTGCTGTATTTTGTGTATGGTTCGTAGTTGTATCAAGTTAGTAGTTCGGATTGAATAAAATAAGTAGTAGACCTGGATTTGATAATATTATCAGTCTTTATGGTAGCCAAAAGGCGACATTATGATATAAAAATTGTGACCTACATTGTTAATGGATTGAGACATGACAACTTTCAATTACTGGCAATTGTAAATAGAGAATAGTGACTTGAAAATGATAATCTGAATGATATTTTACGTCATTTTTGGCTTCTCACAACAAGAGAGTTTTTGGTACTAATTGAATTAAATCAATGGAGATAAATTTCTTAAGACTGTTAGGATAAAATATATATATATATATATATATAGGAGCAAGGACTTAATCTGGACTTGTTTAGCTTTGGACTTATTCAAGATAGATAACATCCCCTTAAAAGAGGACGAAGCTTTAAAAATGAATTCCCAGATCAAATAAAAAAGAAATAATCCTTGGAGGGAAGAAAGTAAATGTAAAATAAATAGTAGGAAAAGATAGATAGAACACAAATGTTTGGGAGATCGAAAGATTGCATATCAATCCAATACAAAAAGAATATATAATAACATGTGAAAATGGACTCCAAATGAAAATTTAGCAATAGAGGGGAGACCACCTTTCTTCTTCTTCTTCTTCTTCTTTTTTAAAAAAAAAAAAAAAAAATTTATGTATTATTATTATTAACTTTGTTTATGTAAAAATCAAGATATCATTAAGAACCACAAATATAATCCTGTAAAGTAAACTTCACACTTCAGCTCATTGCTGGTTATTGATAATCTATCGACTTCAACACTCCAGTCATTATTCCTCACGAGGTGAAAACACACACACACACACAAACGAAATTCATTAAAGATCAAGAATTCCACATTTGAGAAGAGAAGACGAACAAGTTTCTTCTCCTGAAAAGAAAAGCACAAAACTACAACAACTCTGCGACCCAAGAAGTGCGTCCTACTTCACTACTTGGAATCCATGAAGTAAAGAGCCATGGCGACATCAACGGAAAATTCCATATCCAACGTAGGTGACATTCCATATTAACCCAATGCTCTCCAACTGAATTTAATGTTTCTTTTATGGTATTACTCTGCTTTATGCATCTGAAAAACACAGCAAGGCGAAGAAAAAAAAAAAAACCCCTCTTTTACATGATCTCTATAGCTTCTATTCCCACTTGCCCAGATGTGTAGCGAGAAACAGTAGGTGGAGGGAGTGTCTGTAATCTAGAACAGAGGGAGGCATGGTAGATCCAGAGCGCAGTTATTAGCGGGAAAGAAGTACAACATTTGGGAGGCATAATTGGAAAAAAGGTAAAATGATTGCAATTATGCTAAGCTCTACGTAACACACTTAACACACCCACAAGATAAAAGAAGTATGCATCCTTTTTTGTAATCTTCTTACAAACAATTGTCAAAGCACATGCCCTACATATTTTTTGGTTCCCCTAATATTAACTTGAAGAATAGAGAAAATATGTACTGGACAATTATGAATAAGAAGAATGGCCTTATAGAGAGTTGTCGTCCTATAAGAAACTATCCGATTTAAAACCCCAAACTCAAAATCGTTGAGATCAAAGCAAATGCCCTAAAATCCCTCTCCTTCGTTTTGAGTCCACCTACTGGACCCATGTTTTTGGCAAATCACTGCATATCAGAAACTATTGGTTGGACTTAGTACTCGAAACTACACAAACAAACTCCAGTTAAGTTTGAGATTCATGGAAACGAAGCAACATTCTCGGTCTTCATTCATAATGTCCCTTGTTCAATATAATCCTTCCTCAGCCGCATCAGTTGGCTGTCACAATAATACCCCCAAGATCAACCTACTTGATCGCATAAATAAGACTTTGGGACACAATGCAACTTGTTGCATCATACAATTTAACTAACCTGGTTACTCTAAAAAAACTGGTCTCTAGTTTAAGGGAACATTATTCCATGAAGGAAATAAATGGTGCTCCTTGTTCAAAAATTCCGGTTGTTGACTAGACAGCAGATTCTTGGCTGGAATATCCAAACAAAATCCAGTCATAAAAAAGATAGATAGGTTCTGTTTCATAATGAAGTGCCACAATTGCCTGAGGCTCAAAACCGGACGACATTACCAAGAGTACAAACACGAATATCTACAATCCTACAATTAAATTCCTTGGGTGCACAAAATCTTAAAATTGGAACCTAACATTAATAGTAAGATCATACTTCATATGCTCAGCCTCTACTGTATATATCTATTAATTGAATCCCACTTGCTGAAACAAACATCAAAATTAACAATAAAAATCACAAATTTATAATTTCTTTGAAAATTTCTAAAACATCACTAGAAGAAAGAAGCAAGTTACAGTCTTACACCCAAAAATTAATGGGTAAATCTACGAATTCCAATCCCTCATACTGGAAGGACAAAATTCATAATAGAAATTACAAATAAATAGTTTCTTTGAAAAGTTCAAGAACTCACTAGAACAAAAACAACTACCAGTCTTGCACTAAAAAATTAATAGGCGTTATCAGAAACAACAGGAACAATCAAAGGGACAAAGTGGGGTACCTCCAGCATCTGCCTTCCCAATACCCAACTCCTCTTCTGTATAGAGAACAAGTCCATCCCCGGTTCTCTTCCTAGGCCGAGGAGGCGGATCAACAAAACCACTGTCTTCGGACTTTTTACTCTTCTTTTTCTTTGTTTTACTACTAGATTTCACACTCACATCTTCTATTGGCTCATCACCCTTTTCTCGTTCTGCTTTCTTCCTCTTCTTTCCAGAGAAGATCTCATCTATCTCGTTACCAGATTTTTTCGATATAGAAGAGCATTTCTCCTCTTCTATAGGTTTTTTGAGTGTAGAAGAGGGACTCTCTTGTTCTACAACAGGGTCCTCCAACGTTGGTGCAGGCATTTTAGATGCTCTCTTTTTGGGCATCGTATGGACTTGAAATCTGCAGACTCAATTGTTTGTGATGTAGTCAGGGTTACATATAGAACCCTAAAACAAACTTACAGCTTTGTTTGGTTGATAAGAAAGTATAGGAGAAGACAAAAAAAGAAATTATGAATCTCAGATTTTATTCTTCAATCGGAGTCCAGGAAAGAGAAAGTGAAAAACTGCTAACCCAATTGATGAGTGCCGTTCTAGGGATCAAACGCAAACATTACATGCAATTAAAAAAAAAAAAAAAAAAAAATCCTCAATTTCTCAGCAATGTAACATAGAAATATTTTCCGGTAAAAAGCAACCTAACAGATTGCAAATCAATGACAATAACAACATTAATAGAATTCAAAGAGCAGCTAAAATCTCCTCCAAGAAATAATTTCAGCTGCTTTAAACTTTGGAGTCTAGGGTTTATGTTATCAACAGAAAATCCAGAAGGGATCAAAGATGATTTCATTAACTGCATACAGGTTAGCGTATAAAAGACCAAACCGAAAAGAAATTCAACAAAAAGCTAAAATTGTTTCATAAATTAGAAACAAAGAAGGAACTTTAAAGCTCCAAGCTATGATCTATGAAAATAGATTACTCGATTAGCAGAATCTGACCTTTAGTTTGCAGGGACTCTGATGGAGAGAGAGATGATACTGTAGGGTTTATCTAACATGAGTCACAATATGTACGTGTGTGGGGGTGAAGTAATGGACATTAACTTGACCCGAATAACCCCAGATAGATTACCCAGCCACCCCACTGAGATTCTCAGAACTAATGGGAGACTCCAAACCCGGTAGAAGGGAGACTCCAAACCCGGTATATATATATTTTGGAAGAAGAGATTTTGAGTATATATACCGGGTTTGAACTAATGGGTGACTCCAAGTCCATAACCGGGCCGACAAATATTAGATGAGAGGTTTTTAGGTGATTTGAAATTATATGGTCTTGGCTACTTTATTCAATATTTTGGTTGCATGGTAGAATATGATTAGTGGGACTATGATTAGCGGATTCAGAATTTCTCAATAATCGGGTGGACTAAATCAAAATATATCAACCAAAACTTACTCTAACTGTTGTTTAATTCAATTTTAGTTAATTAACAATGTTTCTTTGGACAATTGACTGATTAAGGCATAGAAAATCTTATTTGGATAATTAATATAAAAAAATTACCAAATTATTTCTGAACAATTCACCACTCAGTACCCTATCTCTTCTTTTGACCAATTTACTAATCCTATTTGAGAATCCACTAGTGGAAGCAGAGTGTGAGGTAGTTCATGGAAAGCCCCTTCCAACACTATGGAATCCACTCAAAAGCATGCTTTTTGTCAAAGTTCTTGTTATGATTTTTTTTTTTTTAGTTCTGAAAAGATTTACATCTTCAAAAAGCTTGGCATGTTGATAAAAATTGTTTCAGATGCAATCTCTGCAAATTTCTAATCTAACTCAATTCAATTCAATCCAATTCAGATTCATTTTTTTTTTTTTTTTTTTTCTTTTACCATGCCCAGATCCAAATTTTCTTGTAGACATAATTGACAACCAAAAAAAAAAAAAAAAAAATAGAAGTTATAGAAATCAAAAAAAATATTTGTTTTGCTGAAATAAAATGTAGATTACGGTGATCACCTCAAAATGCAATGCAATGATTACCTCAAAATGCATGCAAATTTTGTTACTTTATATTGTTAATATATATATATTAAAAAGATCATAAAAAAGATTTAGTTTGCAAAACAAGAATTACAGAGCTTGATTAGTTGATTTAGAAAAAAATTTAAATCAAAACCCATACATACAAGTTAGCAGTTGCAGAGAAGCTTGAGAGTTGAGAGACAGCGGCTGAAGCTTGCGAATGGTGAACCCGAACTGGAACAGCGGGCGATGGAAACTGAAAGATATGGGTTTTGAACTTTTGATTCTTGTAGATTTTGTAGTTTGTAGTTGCGCGAGCGAAGAGAGAGAGAGGGGGCAAGTTCGGAGGTGATTGGGAAGGCTGAAATGATTGGACCTAAAAATATTTTTTTTGTCTGGTGGCCCATGGATGGGCCATGGCCCATAAATTTTGAGGGCCCATAAATTTTGAAGGTCTTTGTCGCCTTGGGTCAGGGCTGGCTCTGGGCTTATTTGGCTTGGGTATGGTGGCTGAGTTGACTTGACCTTAATTGGGTGGGCTAATTTTGTTTTTTTTTGGGGTGGGCTCAAGACCACCAGAGTCCACCCCAACAGCCTCCCTTGCTCCCACCCCATCCCGACAACGTTTAATTTCCGCTCAAATATATATATATATATATATATATATATATATATATATATATATATATATCTCTATTAATTTTCCCACTGATGAACAATTGGTAGTTGTATTAAATTATCTGTTATTGAATTCATCCCATGTTTCGCTATGCATACAATTTCTGTTTTTACTTCTCATGTCAAACCTACCATGATGCATAAATGGATTAATTTTGTCATGCCTCCACAAAGATATTGAACATGCTCCATCAAATTATATATTTATATACATACTTGCATGTATAAACTTTTATTTATTTGGGTTTTTCTTTTCTTTTTTGAACTTTTATAGTTTGGATAAAAATTATTTCTAGAGATACCCAGAGCAAATCTAACAAGGTACTATATCAAAAACGTTTAGGACATGTTAAACATTAGAAATGTTTTTGTGGTGGAGCGTGTTCAATAGTGATTGTAAGCATAATTAGTAATGTAAAATTTGTTTAAGATTTTTAAAAGTAAAACACAAAAACATAGTAGGTCAAAAAACTGTGCATGTTTGAAAAACATAATGACGAGTTTAAAAGGTCATTTCAAAAACATTTTGTTACGCATAAACATATAAAAATGCCAAATTATTGTTTCAACTTTGAGCCACTATTTACGGAAACTAAACATGTTGGCTACACTATACCAGCCATAAACAAATAAAAACACCAAATTATTTTTTCAACTTTGAGCCACTATTTATGAAACTAAATATGTTGGCTACAGTACCTAGTTGTAAACATATAAAAACACCAAATTGTTGTTTCGACTTTGAGCCACTATTTATGAAGCTAAACATGTTGACTACAGTAACCAGCCAAAAACAATGCTACAAAAAAAAAAAAAAAAAATGGGCCCTTGCTAGTTTGCAAAATGGCAACTGCAACTCTTTAAATTTCACACATTAAGAAAGGTAAGATATTTTTAAAGCACAGTACAAATTCGCCCAAAAAAAAGTGCAAATGTAAGAACAACATAATTTATGATGACTTTAACATGTATTAATTATGCGGTTTGTTAATAACAACTTAGCCAAAAATTGTGGTCCATATAAGATACAAACAAGGTAATATAAGCTCGAGGATCATAAAAATCCTTATGCTTTCACTTCATTTCTTCTTGACAACAAGGTAAATAAGTTACTTAACTGTTCTTCAAAACCCCAAACATATCAAAATTTCGCGCACAATGCAGAATAACCGAGTCTTTTGAAAATGAAGCATCATTAACTTCCATTAGTAACCTGTTTAGTCCAACTATAATCCATCACTTATAATCCGGGCAATGGGAACTGTGTTGTGAGAGCCTCGACTCTCCTTTGCAGATCCAACACGCGATCCATCAAGGAGAAATCTGGAGAAGCTACAAACTTCATGAATTCTGGGAGCTTTGAACCGGAAACTGACCGTTTTGCGTCAAGAGTTATCTGCACACCCTCATGAATGAAGTCAGCAGTTGCAATGAATTCCTTCTCTGTGAAACCTCTGGTAGTCATAGCAGGTGATCCGATGCGTACGCCACCAGGCATTAGTGCACTTTTATCACCTACAATGCCCAGCATCGATCAGCGTAAAGACAAGGCCAGTGAAGAAGAAAGCTAAACATAACAAATGAATGTCAAGTAATAAAGCCACTAATAAAACAAAACTCACCGGCTACTGAATTCTTATTTAAAGTGATGGATGCCATGTCAAGAATTTTCTCTACTCGAGCCCCATCAATATCCTGAGTCAGTGCAGGGAATTTTGATAAAATCAGACTAAATTTCAAAAATAAGATCTGCATATAATAGTAAATCTTGCCTGATGCCATACCAGCTAACCAACCAACAGTCTGATTAAAAAAAAACCAACAGTAATTGATTTATATTATAATTATTATTTTAGTAAGTAATTCATTTATATTGTCATTCTTTTGCTAGTATATAAGAAATAATGGCTCACGCCTGAGAATTTGCTTTGACTAGACACATCATGTTATAAAGTGACTTATTAGAAAAAATCAGTAGGGACAAGTTACAACTTCTTTCAAGATATAAAAAAAAATTGTATAAAAAAGCAGCCAAAACCTGTGTTGAAGCACAAAAAGTAAAAATATCAAAAGGCGGAAACATACCAATGGCCTCAGATCCACAAGAACCAAGTGGTTATCACTCCCACCAGAAACTAGTTTATATCCCAATTCAATCAATCGGCTCGCAAGAGCTCTGCAATTTGAAACCACCTGCAACAAAAGAGAATATGGTAAGTCAGATGATCTGTATAAATTGAGCCATGTCCTGATCATGAAAAGGGAAGTGCGGTACCTTGTTCTGATAGGCCTTAAATTCTGGTGATTGAGCATGCTTCAGGCAGACTGCAAGTCCCCCAATTGTGTGGTTATGAGGACCACCCTGCCAAGATTACTCATCAATATTAATATGCAGTTCGCAGACCAAAAAGATTCAGGCTTAAGATCAAACATGAGTATGGAGCACGGAATACAAGTCGAACTAACCTGTAAACCTGGAAAAACAGCGTTGTTAATGGCAGGTTGTAAATCAACACCCAGAACAGGATCCTTCTTGAAGAAGATCATGCCGCCTCTAGGGCCTCTCAGAGACTGGGAAGAAATTTTATCAGGTTATTTATTTAAGATCAGACCACAAAAAAACAAACATATTTTTGGGATGATAACTGTATATTGAATACATCCATAAAGAAAATGAAAATTCAAAAAAAATAATAAAAGAAAGAAAATAAAAGTTCTTTCTAAAACAAAGAACTCTTCATAAATTAATTTCTCCGGATCTTACTTTGATATTGACTGCCTGTAAAACTACCCACCAACAAACTCATGAAAAAAGATGGACTAGATTACTGAAGCATTCAAAAAGGGCAAGAATTTGAAAAATAAATCATGTCATTTTTGTTAATCAAATCCCCTTGTTGATGAGTCAGTGACTAGTTGAGGCCAGCTACTTGAGTACTTCTCTAGTTAGTTCTAGGAGCACATCCATCAAATGTCAGATAATTATTTTGAGAACTCCTAGGTGGACTTCTATTATACATACAAATTCAACTAGGAATTTTGTTCGTCAACACACAACTTGAACCTGCTGAGTATTTTGACAACATTGATGCCCATTATTTTTCCCAACCCCAGAAAAAAAGGAAATGTTTTCTTCAATGCCTTCTTTTTATTTTTTCTTTCTTTTTATCCTAACAAAAAAATATAGCATGCTTCATTTCTTTTTTTCCTTCCACCATTATTTTCCTTTCTCACTCATTCTGGAACCAGATTTAAGTGTTAAAATATAGACAGAAGTCTGGCCAGTGAATGATAGAAGTAAAATACAATTCCATCTACACTAGACCGTTACACTATTTTGAACAGGAAGCCGAAAAATGAGAGCAGTTCTCTAAAAATTTCTAAAAGGTGGTCGGAATGGCTAGGTAATTAAACATATTTACAAAGCACATTTTACACAGCACAAATCAGAATCCATACAGAATTACAGAAAAATAGAATAGTCAATTAATTAAGCATGGAGTGTATGGGTGTTGAAGTTCAGCTGTGGAGATTTGTGTATTACACATTGGATAACAGATAAAACATGATATCATACTAGGGTGTAAAAAGTGGCAAGAGAGGGATAGAGAAAGAACTAGGAGGAAATCAAGAGTATCCAATGTTACTATGGTCCTCTCGATGGTTCTTTCTTATTATCCGTCCAACAGGAGAAAGCTCATCCGCCGAGCTTTGGATGTAGAGAAAAACTGGTGATAGCAAATGTACAACGTGACTAAATGGGATGTTGCCAAATCATAGGAGAATAATGTGATGCTCGACACATGACAATAAAATGTTTCAAAGGTCACATGGAGTGTCTATTTAAGACCAGCCAAGGTGTAAAAAGTGGAGAAAGCACAACTTGGCAACCTCAGTTTTTGCTGAGCCACAAATCCCTAGGATCAGATTGAATCACGTTGGATCCCCGAGGTCGTGAACTAAGCTCAAGGAGCCCCATGGACCCTGATCCCAACCCAAGCAAGTATAAGATGTGAAACGAGCATGAGCGCTGAGGCAGCTAATGATGGGAGCAAAACAAGGTGGCAGAGGTCCAACCAAGAGGAACAACTATGCCAGATAGAATTGAATGGTATAACAAAGTGGAATCAGTAATGCAGTGCATGATCAAGATTGTGCAATACAGTAAAACTGGTGGAGAGACAATGCTTAGTGTGAGATTTCTCTGTGATGGATAATCAAATCCTGGTCATAAACAATAAGTGGCAAGAGATTGCTTGGTATAAGGAGATGGCCCCGGCTTTTGAAGATCTTTGCATCAAACAAGCAACCAAGCTAAGTTAGAGAAGAGCACCACAGCTGAACAATACAACCCGCCCACTAAAAGAAAGAAATTTGCAAAATCCTATATATATATATATATATCAATTAAGTACTTTCAGTAAATCTAATATTGGCCCATCAAAGTACCAAGTTATTTAACTCATTTATCAAAAAAGTTCTGTATGAATCTATAAAGTTCTAATTTTAATTTCTTCAACCAATAAAGGTATAACTATTGGCAAGGGCAAGCTAATGCTAGCCAATTAGATTCACTTTGATTTTCTCTCTCCTCTTTTTCTTCTCCAATGAAACCCTAGCTTCTTTTTTCACCTCTGAATCTTGAATCTATAAAGTTCTAATTTTAATTTCTTCAACCAATAAAGGTATAACTATTGGCAAGGGCAAGCTAATGCTAGCCAATTAGATTCACTTTGATTTTCTCTCTCCTCCTTTTCTTCTCCAATGAAACCCTAGCTTCTTTTTTCACCTCTGAATCTTGAACTGTCCAATTTTGATTCCCCCCCCCCCCCCCCCCCCCCCTGTTTTGTAACTCACAAGTTTCTTAAAAGGCAAAAAAGGGGACAAACTCCTGAGTCAAAATTGGCTAATTGTATTCCAAAATGTTTTTGTTTATAAATACTGTGTCTTAAGGGTTTTTTATATCAAAATGTACTACATGGATCGTCACAGAGATGCCACGTCACAAGATGGAGTGTGCCACGCGGGTCATCAAGGAAATTACATGCAGTTAGTAGTTGTGTGTCAGTCACATTAGTTAATGACAGACTTGTGGCAAGGTGGGTCCTGGTACCCACCAAGTGCAGTCTAACATGGAGAATAGCAAACACTAAGGAGATTCAGTACATGTCAGGATTCCAAATTAACAAGTGTAAAGGGATGTATAAATATATCAATGGAACATAGAGAATCCTCGTCAAAAGGTGCCATGTAGTGAGTTGAAGATATACCACGTGTACCATAACAAAGATGCCACGTCGCAAGACGGGGTGTCCCATGCGGATCATCGTGGTAATTACATGTGGTAAGTAGTTATGTGTCACTCACATTAGTAATTGAGAGACTTATGGCAAGGTGGGTCCTGGTACACACCAAGTGCAGTATAACATGGAGAATAGCAAGTTGCCTTTGCTATACACCATTAAAAAGGAAACCAAAATATTGAAATGAAGTATTGTGGCAGCAACAATGGTTCAACTCATACCTTATGTGTTGTCGTCGTTACTATATCACAATACTCAAAAGGATCGGCAACAACAGAAGCAGCAACAAGTCCGCTTATGTGAGCCATATCCATCATGAGAAAAGCACCAACACTATCTGCAATCTTCCAATCCATATTAAGAAACTAATTAGGGGAGAGAGCGAGAGAGAGAGAGCAATATATACACATGAAAAAGACTGGAAGTTTTTTAGTACTAAGAAACAGTAATTTACAACTGGGTTACACAAATACCCACAAAATATCCATACCTTTCTCATACGTGGATAGTCAAAATCTCTTGGATAAGCACTAGCACCAGCAATAATGAGTTTTGGCCGAAAGAGATTTGCTGATTCCTCAAGCTTGTCATAATCAACTAGGCCTGTTAAAAGAAATTTGAGATGAACTCTATATCATCCATCCATGCCAGTCGATATCAACAATTATCTATTTCACCTAGACCAAATTCAATAATAAGAATGGAGCACCTGTAGATTCATTTAGTTTGTAAGACATCGATTCAAAATAAATTGATGTGGCTGAAACCCGTCGTTTAGGAGTCATGAACCCGTGAGACAAGTGTCCCCCATGAGACAAGTCCAAGCCCTAGGTCAGTTAGATGTACTCATTAATATCGATCCATGATACAATCAGACAATTCTACTGGCCAAAGTCAAAAGTGAAGCAACATTATTACTTACCATTATACGGTCATGTGGTTTAAGAATTGCAGTATAAACCTCAAAATTAGCCGGAGAACCAGACAAAGGCTGCACATTGACACCCCACTTCTTTCCATCCAGGTGAAAAGCTGCCAAAGCCCTCTCTTGACAGAGAATTTCCAGCTCATCAATATACTCATTGCCACCATAGTATCTGAGACCCATAATGAAGTTACTGACAAGTGATAATGACAAACCATAGCTAACACGAACTCTCTATTTAGAAGGGCAAAGATCACCTTTTGCCGGGTAGACCTTCAGAATATTTGTTCGTGAGGCAAGAACCAACTGCTTCCATCACTGCTCGTGATGTGAAATTTTCTGAGGCAATAAGCTCTAGACTTTTAAATTGCCGTTGCTTTTCTTTGTTAATAATTGATCGCACTTCAGGATCAGTTTCACTCAAGTCATAGTCCACAAAGCTGTTTCCTTTACCTAAATATAGTAATTTGAATTTCATAGAGAGCCTTGTATTAGCCCTACCACTATTTCACCGAAACTGGATAGAAACATAGTAATTATAATCTATAAGATCAAATATATAAGCAAAATAAGCATGTCAAAGTTGCATACCAATATATCAGAAGTTCTCTACGGATTGACGAGATCATATTATATTGAAACATGATAATCAATATTACAATAAACATCACAAGCTTGCACACAGATAATATACCTTATACGCCTATAGAAACGAAAGAAGATATTCCTCAAGTTTTAAAGATCATCAAGTACTTATTTTTTTGATAGATATTAAAGATCATCAAGTATATGAATGGCAGATATTCCTTCAAGGAAATAAAGCTTCAGGGATGTATTTCCCCAACAGATGAAATAACAGAAACATATGACCACCTTTTGTTATCCAAGCTCTAGTATAAGGATTTGAAATCTATAAAGATCATCAACAGAAGAGGGCTTTTGCAGATGCCATTCGGCACACAGCTTATCAGGCACTTGGTGGTCAAGCGGCCCAAGTCCATTTCTAACAAATCAGCATCCAGAGGTAATTCTAGAATCAAGCAGAACGTGGTTTAGTAAGAATTATCAGAGAACAAAAAATAAAATAAAAAATTCTGATTTAAGAAGTTTTGTCAGGAAATCCACATCACAGTTATCCATTTTCCACACTATTGTTAATTCAGAATCCTAAGCTCTTTTTTATTTAAGCGTAAATTACACTGACCTCCCCTGAGGTTTCGTCAACCTACACAGACCTCCCCTCTTGTTTGTCAAAATTACACTGACCTCCCTTGTCAATGGATGCTGCTAACGGAAAGAGTAAAATTACTAATTTACCCTTACTTATTAATTTATTATAAAAATATAAAATATCAAGGATGTAAATTACCAATAGTACCCTTTTAAAGATTTTTTTTTCCTTCTCCTTTCCCACGGCCTTGCCACTGCCAACAAGCCCCCTCTCTCGAGCTCGCATGATCCAGATAGCAGAGGAGGCAATCTGTGTGAGAAAGGTCTTGGAAACATTGGGCTAGGCCGTAGATAGGTGGTGTTGAGTTCACTAGGTTGTGACCCCAGTGATGGGTAGTGACGAGTTGTGAGAGAATTTCCATTTCTTTGACAAAGGTTGCGACGTAGTTGGTCTTTGGTGGCGGTGTGGAGTTGCCATAGAAGAGGCTGGCCTCGGGGATTTGAGGATCGGACTGTGAGAGTGAGAAGAAATTGACGAAGAAGAAGAAGAAGACCCATGTGAGATTCGAGGAAATGAGTGCTGAGAATTGCATAGAATTCAAATTGGGTATACTGGAAATCTCATCTCTATCTCTTGTTTCCAATTCCATCTTTGGTTTCATTCTTTGTTGGTTGAGATCAATGTGGATGCTAAATAGAAAGCAGCAAATAAGAGACTAAAGGGCTTCCGAGCTCACGTACCCTGATTCGCCCTTCGCAGCCACCGTGTGTATATATAGATAGATAGATATATATGTGTGTATATATATATATGTATGGAGAGATTGAAGCGCGTCTATATATATATATACATAGATAGATATATATGTGTGTGTAATTATATATGGATGAGATTGTTGTATGTGTCTATATATATATATATATAGATAGATATATATATGTGTGTGTGTAATTATATATGGATGAGATTGATGGGTGGAGTTGAGGGGTGAATTGGTTGATGGTCGGAGGAGGAGGAGGAAGAGGAAAGGTTAATGTGGGGGTAGTTTCCGTTGGTCTCACCGGTAAATTTCAGCAGTTTAGATCCATTGGGTATACGGGGTTTGTTGATATGAGGGCACCATTGTCCTTTTGAGTTTATCAATAAAGGATAGTATTATAAATTTGCAGTGATTATTGAGGTTAAAAATGTCATTTCATGTATTAGAATGGTAAAATTGTCTTTGTACTGATTTTTTTTGACGGACATAAGTATAAACGGTTAGTTGTTTACCGGCAGGGGAGGTCCGTGTTATCAGTATATAAATTTCGAGGGAAGTCAGTGTTATTTGGCAAACAAAAGGGGAGGTTAGTGTATAATGACGAAACCTCTGGGGAGGTTAGTGTGATTTACCCTTTATTTAAAGATTTTTTTTTTTTTTTTTTTTAAAAAAAAAAAAAATGCTTTAAGTTATAAAAGAATCACTCATCGATGTGGCTCACGCTTGGTCACCTACACAAACCAAAGGATTTGCAGTTCAGCCGTATAAATTTAAACCCTTAGCAAAAATTTGAAGTTTCTAAATGTGGTGAGGAAATTACGGATAATTTTACATTAAATAGTTTGTCTTAAGCAGAACCAACCCATTTTTGATGAGCATCCAAGTGATGAAAGGGATACGTAGCTGTATGCAATCCTCGGAAATTGAAGGAATAGGCTCCATAAGAGAAGTACAGATAAAATAAACATAGATCCAAATTAAATGAATCAATAACTTGAACACAAATTAGGACCAACACAGTATCAACTCTATGAACTGTGTAACTAATCAAAATTTCAATTATCAATAATTCTACCACAACGAACACAACCACCAGCTTCTTGGTTGAATCATAGAGCAACATTTTATTGAGCAATCATCATAGGTTTGAAACCTTCGAGTTTCCAGTAAAGAAGACTCTATAGAGCTTAGGCATTCATCAAAGCAAGCATAAGTGCACATACACAAACACATTGAATCAAAAATATGCCAAAGAAGTCCCCAAAATGGGGAAAAATTTGAGAGGAAGATACAGAATGCGGTCCCACTCATACTTTAAATTGATATATTGCGAATTTTTACTTCTCACACCAGTACCTCAAGCCATGAGTCAATTCTCTAGATTTGCAGCATGTTATCAAGCGACCATTGCACAACTCATGGTTGAGGACAAGAGGATGTGGTGGATGGAAGAGGTGTTTAATCAGTGGTGGCAATTGAGTCCACCATTTGTGTAGCAAAAGATTACATTGATGACAAACATAGATTGTACAGTTGGTGCCGCTCACAGGCAGAAAAGCAAACATCAAAATTGCATTTGGTATCACAGGGAACCAATATATGCAAGTGGGAGAATGGTTGAACTTGGTTTTGGAAACTTCCAAACTTTATGTAAGGCATTACAGAAGCGCAACTTACATCCAGAGTACATGCACACTTGGAACAGTTGAAGCTCAAGCAATATTGAAACATCCCACAGGTATTGCATTTAAAGAATCTCAAATCATCACCAGAGGGTGCGAGAGTGTAATGGGTGAAAGCAATACGGAATCATCTCACAGGTATTGCAAATCAACTGATATATAATTGTAAAAAATAATTACCTCCAATTTCAGGCACTGGAACAGACACAGAAGAAGGTGGCCTCCCAGTGACCAAACTCCCTTCAAGTTGAGATCTACATGGCTTTGCTGAATTGAGCTTGATCTGTTGTGGGAAGCCACTGATACCAAGCCCTTTTGAAGGGAAATGAGATCCCTTAAGCCAAATGGGCTGTTGCAATGAACCCATTGCTGCAGTTCCAGCACAAGTCTGCATACTGGCTTCTAATATGATATCTTGCAAGCCTCCTACATATTCCAAGATATCGAATTTTAGGGTTGAAATCACACATTTGAACTACACACACACACACAAAAAAAAAAAAATCAACTAGTGCAGAAATTGAAATTGAAGGGAAAGGGCAAACATGACGTAAAAAAAAAATTACCCAAATGACCCTGAGTTCCCTTGGATTGAACAACTGAAGAAATTCACAAATAAGCAATGGTACACAAATAAAATCAAATCAACAAAGCAATGGGCCAGTGACCTAGCGGTATCAGGCCCTTACTTCCCAAAGGGAGGTCAGGGGTTCAAGCCTCAGTGGAGGCATGTGCATGTGAGTACCAATTAGGAAGGAAAAAAAAAAATCAAATCAAATCAAATCAACAAGGGGTTTACGCTCGAGTGAAATTCGGTTCAGAAAAAAAGCTATGTAAACATATATAAACATATACAAATATATATAATATATATGTGTTCACGCAGGCGGTAGTGAGTAGTGTGTACAAGAGAGAACCTATTGCTGAAATTTTGGGCAAAAGTCACAAGGTCAGTGGACGAAATTCCGGTTAATTTTAGGATTTTGATTAAGCATGATAAGGATTGGGGGGAAATAGATTTAGAGAGACTTTACAGAGAGAGGGACTAGCACCTATCAAGAAACAGTAGAACTTCCAGAGGCCCGGTTACAGGTAATCAAATGCACATGTGGATCTGCCATAAATTTAAAATCTATAGTCCCAAAAAGTCATCCAAACAAATTATAAGGTAAGGATTTAGGTCGAAGATTTCAAATCCATCCAATCCAAACTATCAAATTCAGAAGTACCCTAGGGCCTACTTGGATCAGTTTTCAATTTTTAGTTTTTGAGAATAGTTTTTAGAGAGTCAAAACATAAAAAAGTTAAAATTTTGAGTCTAAAAATCTGTTTGGTTGGGTATACTGCAAAACAGTTTTCAAAGGAAAAAAAAAAAGCTCAACAATCTGTTTGGTTTTTTGCACTGAAAATATTCCCCTTTCCTGTTTCGGCTCAAGTATATTAGTTTGACTTCCCACTATTAAGTATTCTGTCGACTAGAGAATTCTAGATTTAAAGATCAGCTAGTTTAGTAGCATTCAATCAAACGTGTTTGAGGATAGAAGAGACAAAGTGGACCTGCTCTTCATTAACAAACTAACTAATGGAAAGAATCTATATATTAAAAAAAAAAAAAAAAAAAAGTTATAAGCTTGAGGATATCTGCGATCACAATGTATGAATAAAAATTGAGAATATCATACACAATCTCTTCAGAAAGATCAAGAAGTAGAAGAAAAAACAGATTATAAAAAGAGTACAAGAGGAACGAAAAAACACCAACCCCCCAGAAAAAATAACCAATACGGTTTACCATTACCCAGTTAACCAATCTTCCACAGAAACAAGATGCCACAACATTTTTACAGAATAGAAGAGAAAAAGTTATAACCGCAGGCTTTTCGACATATATCTAATGCGCAGAAATGACAATCAATTCAACAATCAATCTTAAACTCATATAGCCTTTTCCTCATTACTTAAACCTCTTTTGTTTTTTTATGTTAAGCACCAAAATGACAACCAATTCAACAATCAATCTTAAACTCACATAGCCTTTTCCTCATTCCTTAACCTCTTTCGGTTTTTTATGTTAAGCACCAAAATGACAACCAATAAAACAATCAATCTATAAAAATAGCAACCACCAAATTCAGCCAACCAAGGGCGGATCCAGGATTTCTCAATGGGGTGGGCTGAATCAAAATATATCAACCGCTGTTTAATTCAATTTTAGTTAATTAACAATGTTTCTTTAGAAAATTGACTGATTTAAGGCATAGAAAATCCTATTTGGGTAATTAATACAAAAAATTACCAATTTATTTCTGAACAATTCACCACTCAGTAACCTATCTCTTCTTTTGACCAATTTACTAATCCTATTTGAGAATCTACTAGTGGAAGCAAAGTGTGAGGTAGTTCATGGCAAGCCCCTTCCAACACTATGGAATTCATTCAAAAGCATGCTTTTTGGAAGTATTTTAATTTTCAAGAAGCAACTTTAGAGCTTTACCCTATATTAAGTACTTCTGGTTATGATTTTTTTTTTTAAGTTCTGAAAATATTTACATCTCCAAAAAGCTTGGCATGTTGATAAAAATTGTTTCAGATTCAATCTCTGTAGATTTCTAATCTAATCCAATTCAATCCAATTTAGATTTTTTTTTTTTTCTTTTTCCTTTTTTCATACCCAGATTCAATTTTTCTTGTAGACATAACTGACAACAAAAAAAAAAAAAAAAAAAAAAACAGAAATAGAAGTTATAGAAATAAAAATACATATATTTGTTTTGCTGAAATAAAATGTAGATTACGGTTATTACCTCAAAATGCAATGCAAATTTTGTTACTTTATATTGCAAAAAAAAAAAAAAAAAATTATATAAAAAAGATCAAAAAAAATTTCACCAAATAGGATTTAGTTTGCAAAACAAGAATTACAGACCTTGATTAGTTGATTTAGAAAAAAAATTAAAACAAAACCCATACATACAAGTCAGCAGTTGCAGAGAGAGAGGGGGGCAACCTTGAGAGTTGAGGGCCAGCGGCTGAAGCTTGCGAACGGGAAACCCGAACTGGAACAGCGGGCGATGGAAACTGAAAGATATGGGTTTTGATTTTTTGAACAATCTGAAATGATATGGGTTTTGATATAGGTAATAGGTTTTGAACTTTTGATTCTTGGAGACAGATAGATAAACTGAAATAAATGGGTTTTGAACTTCTGATTCTTGTAGATTTTGTAGTTTGCAATTGCACAGAGAGAGAGAGGGCAAGGTCAGAGTTGCGAACGAGAATAGAGATGGAGGCCACTGGGGAGGCTGAAATGATTTCCCTAAAAAAAATTAAAAAATTTGGGAACCAAAGAACACCCAACCAACAAAATCGCCAACAAAATCGACAGCAAAATCAAGAGTGAATCAGAACTATCTTTTATCAGATTGTTAACAACGGAGTGAAACTCGCAGAGATTTCTTGAATTTTTTAGAAAACCCCAAAAATCTTAGATAGAGATCGTTGTCAGTTGAAAAAGAGAGTGGAAACAGCTGAGGCGAGAGAAGATGATGAACATAAGTCGATTACAGAATTGATTTGCATATATAGAGAGAAGAATAGTAGCGCAAGTTATTTTTTTTTAATTGTTTTCTGAGTCACAAACCAAACAGGGCCTAACTGTTTCATAATTTTCATTTTCACGCGCAACCAAACAGTAACAACAACTGCTAGATACTCATTCTCCTCCTTAATTTTAGTTTTCTCTACATTTTCTCAGAAACCAAACGAAAGCGAAACAAACAGAATATATTGAAGGGAAAAAAAATGAAACTTACGCGTGAGTTATAACTACTTTCTCTCACTTTCTGGTTCGCTTTCTCCCCTTCTTGCCTTCTTGGTTGCTTTAGGGCATGGAGCGAAGGAATGAGTAACAAAACAAAACCCTAGCTGTTGAAAAGCGCGGGCCGCTCGCTAAAATAGTAAAATAATTAAAAAATAGTAGATATTGCCACGTGACTTGTGGTTTTAGATATTTGGATTTGACTACTAGAAAATAATCAGTAGAATTCTGGGATTGAAACAAAAAAAAAATTATTGTTTTATTTTTTTGGGTAAAGTATAAATTACCCTGAATTATTGTTTTTTTTTTTTTTTTTTAAAAATAATTCTATGAATTAAAATATGTTTTTCTAAATTATTAATTTGTTGTAATTAAAAAGTGCCTTTTTTAATTATTGAGTTTTTCTGAATAATTATTATCCTTTATTAATAGTCCAATTTCACATTTAACACTTTTTAAGGTAACAACTTTTATTATATTTTATTGGGTTGGCAAAAGATGTATTTCAAATTTGTCATTCCCTAAAAAGTAAGGTATTAATTTTCAATGGGGTCCACTCATTTTTGGGTTTCAAAAGTAATAGTATGGAAAATAGGGTCCACTTATTTTGAAATTTTAATTAGTTTAATTTTTTAGGAGTAAATTAGGAATGTAATAAAAAGTAGTGCACTGATTTTTGAAATGTGACAACTAAAATGAAACAGTAAAAAATGATACAATGGACTATTAATATGGGACGGAGGGAGTATTATCCTTTTGTAAATAATTCTCTAAATTTTTTATTTCTTCTTAAATTATTTTTATTATCTTTATTATCTAAATATTAATTATATTAATTACCTTAAATTTATTATTAGTATCAATTTATCATAAAAATAAATAAATTTATAACTACTATTTTTTAAATTAATTAACTTATTATTAACATATTATTATTTATAATAAAACTTATATAACCAGTTTAAACTTTTTACCTAAAATTTGTATTAATTAACTCTTAAAATCTCGATATCAAACAATTCATTCAACTGCTACATCTTTCACTTTGGAGCACAAGATTGGTCTAGGATTTGGGCCTTGGGCTCTTGAAAGTTCTTCCACCACGTCATGAAGGTCCAAAGTTATGGATTTATAAAAATATGAACCATAACCAATGGATTTCAGGACTTCGATTTGTGGCCCATTGAAAATTCATATAACTGCCATCAATTTTGTTTTAAAGAAAAATCAATTAACCAAAACACATTTGTTAGTATTTTTAATTAAAAATCAGTTAAATTAATTGCCAACAAGGGTCTTGTTACCCATGTAATATGTCCTCTACCTCCCAAAGTAGATAGTGAGGGTTCAAGTCTCCATATGAACAAATGGATGTGTGAATGAATTGTGTGTAATTTTCTTGCCAATAACAAAAGAAATCAAATAAATTGAGGAAAGATTACTACTAAGCCCCCTAGACTATTCTCATTAAATGACCATACTGTCTTTCTTTTTTTAATTATATTTAATTTATTTTTCTTATTGAAATAAATTATGAAAAACACTCAGACTATATTGATGACATATTCCTTATTAAATTTACAAAAATTATCTTTAATTTTTTATATTAATTGTTTAAATAAAAATCTTGAGTAAAAAATTTTAGAACAGTTTAAGTAATTTCTTATTTTTTTCATTAATATATTGCATGAAAAAAAGGTACTTTTTATTTAAAAATTTGTTAATTTTTCATGAAGATATTGTATGAAAAATAAGGTATTTTTGTAATAAAAAAGGTTTAAACTGAGTATAACAAGTTTTATTATAAAAGTATAGTTTAATTTTAAGTTAATTATATTAGAAAATATAATTACAAAAATAAAATTCATTTTTATGATAAATTGATACTGATAATAAAATAAGGTAAATAGTATAATTAATATTTAGATAAAATAAAAGATAATAAAAATAATTTAATAAGAAATGTCAAATTTAATGAGAAAGGGTAAAATAGTCTTTTGTGATGGGTTTGTCTTTAATTGATAAATCAATAGTTTAGGGGGTTATTTGCGAAAAGGCAATAGTCTAGGAATTTTTTTTTTTTTGCATTTTACCCTATTATAAAGGCAATCCCAAGATTTGGATGGAAAGATGGAAAAATAATTTTATGTTGTGTTTGAGAACACTAAATCGACATTTTGGATTTGAAATTTAAATAAATTTAGGTTATATTCGACTGTGTGAAATTGGAATTGGTGAATTCAAATCGTTGATTCGGTGCTCATAGCCTTATACACATGGCCTTTGGTAATGTTTGTATATAATCTTACTTTTCCACTAGACGTTTTAGTCTAACATTTTGATTTATATAGCATGGTCCTTTGGTTAAACTTCAAGAGTCAAAACATTATCAATACACATCACATTTTTCGGGATGTGCCTTACAAAAAAAGGTTGGAATGATTAATAAGTATCCCAACCTTTTTGCAAAGTATGTACTTTTCACATGAGGCGATTTTATTCCATGCCACCATTTTGTTTGGTGTGAATAAAATTCCTATTTATTGGCGTGAAATAAATAATTTCGATGTACAAATAATGGAGACGCACACCAATGCCTGGAGTTCAGTGAACTTGTACAATAATGTGATTACGGCTTTTATAATAAATAAAAAAAAACTATAAATTGTTGTGATAAAATTTTGATATAGCAAATAATTGAGGTTGACAAATCATAGAAAATGTAGCTTCTAATATGAATTATAATTAACATAATAAATTTCATTGAATCCCAAGGTCCATATATAATAATTTAATAAATCTTTGCGACTTCTTGTTTATATGATGTAGTGCAAAATAATTCAAAATTTAATTTGCCACTCTTATGGTTTATCTATAACTACTTCTCTAATAAAGCTTATGACCTATAAGGCTCTTTATCAACTTCGCAAAGTCATCATGACCTTTGAATTTTATCTAATTAAATTATATATATAAACCAAATCAAATATAAAACTTGGTATAAGTATAAAATGTGGAACCAATGAGTAATTAGAAAACAAAAAAGAAGTCGAAATTTAGGACAAAAATAAATCAAGTTGTAAATTGTTCGAGCTCTACTCTTATTTATTCATTAAGCAAACTAGCTAAACTTGAGCTTATTTTCTTAGTTTGTGTATTAACGAACAAGTTGAACTTGGAACAATTCTTCATTCTACTCATGTAGCTTTTGCCCTTGCAAGTCACATAGATTCTTATAGGCTTGTCTTATTACAGCATTTAATTTTAACAAACAAATTATAGTAATAAATATATATCAATACTACAAATATGTAAAAAAATATACTATAAAGTAATATATATTTTATGAACTCACAAGTTTGGCCCAACTTGCTTGCAAGCAACCTAATCAAGTTGAGTTTTGTTATTGAAATTTTCACGAATTCGAGATAATTCACGATCGATTAAGCTGAGCCGAACAATCTCAAACTTGACTCGGCTCGATTTGATTTATTCATTGTTATAATTGAATTTTGAAAAAAAAAATTATAATATTAAATAGAATAATGATACTTGTACCGATTTGTTGCACTGAGTGTTTGTGATGGGTTATTTATATATAGTACATGTAAGTGGAGGGTCCCCCTTCTTTATTTATGCGATTTGTTATAATGAATTGTCAGACCTATTTACTTTAATCATCCATTTATGCATAAATAAAAAAAATGAGGCCCTTCACTTATATATATTATACATAAATAACTAATCAAAAATATTGGGTGTAATAAATCATTATAAGTATCATTCATCTTTTAAATAATATCAAATATCCATATCATATTATTAATCCAAGAAAAAATATATATATTTTAATTATTTTTTTTCCTTTTTTTGGATATCAATAGTCAAAGTCTTCTTCTGTTAGGCAAATTAAAAACCCTTTACAGGGGTTGGTGTTGGTGGTGTCACATATAATACATTTATATATCACACCATCGCCTTTTCATGTGAGGCTAAAGTTTTTCAATTTGTTTAATCAATTCATTGAATACTTTTAATATTAAATTGCCATTTTCTCACTTAACTCAATAAGCACCTTCATATTATGTATCATCGATTAGTCAAAACGCGAAGAAAAAAAAAAAAAAAAAAAAAGAAAAAAAAAGAAAAAGAAAGAAAGAGGAAAAGAAAAGAGGATTAATTACACTCACATCATGAGGTTTACCCTATTAACGATTAAATGAAAGTTAAACAATAACACCCCTTCTAAAAAAATTTGACCCAAACAGACCTTAAAAGATGAAAAAAAGATGATATTACCCTTCAATAAAATATTAATTTTAAATGAAATATCATAATTTTTAAATAACGAAATTACCCTTTTAGGTTTCTCTCTCTACGTTCTCATTCAAAACGTAGAACTTTCTTCCTCTCTCTACCATCTCACCTTCATCAAAAATCCACCACCACCCACTGCAACCTCCACCCCACTACAATATTATTAATCACATATTTGTATTTTCTTTTCAGAAATAAATTGATTTGGGAATCAAACACACATACATATTATATACACACACATCCCCATTATGTATCTCCAATCCAATTGCAAGCCATCTACGTCAAGCTCTTCAACAATCCTCCTATACTGGTGAAAAAAATAGCATTCAATTCCTCCTCTTGTCCGTTGATCCTCCTCCACACATGCTAACCCGAAACCCTAAAA